AAGAAGAAGAGGATCAGAATAAAAATGTTGGTGGTTCCGGAGCTGGGTTTCAAGAGGAGACACATGAGATTCCTGTGGTTCCTAATGAACAAGGTGGGTCTCCCTCCTCTTCCTGGCTTGGTTCTTCAGTGACAGGATGGTTAGGTCTGGGTAAAGAGGACCAACCGGACAGTGTGGCTGAAGGGGAGATAGAAGATAAGAGGGAAGACACTCAGTCTGAAACGCTCACAGCCTCTGTGACAGGATGGCTAGGCTTCGGAGGAAATGGAAAACCTGACAATGGCAAAGAAAGTGTGAAACTTAAAGAAGAAACTGCTGAATCGTTAACTTCAACCATGACTGGGTGGCTCAGCTTTGGAGGTGGAAGCAAAAGTGAGACAGAAGAGGAACAAGAAGCAGATGAAGACAAAGAACCCACAGAGAAATTCAGGAGCAGGAGGATGTCCTTGGACCTTGAAGGCAGCCAGTTGCAGGAAGAGGAGAAGAAAGAGATGGGGACTTTAGGTTGGCTGGGGAATGGGCTGTCAAGCACACTGGGGTTTGGTTTGACCAGTCAGGAGTCAAGACAGGAGAAGGAGGAGAAGGTGCAGGCTAATTCTTGGTTAAACATGGAGATTGGAGGTATTCTAGGTTTCAGGAAAGATAAAGTTGGAGATGAAGAAAACAAAGAAAGTGAATCTAAGGAGGCAGAAATAGTCACAACTTTAGAGCAACCAACAGGATCGCAGAATGTGGATCACAGTGAATCAGAGGAGGAAATTATTAAGACAAGCAATAATTTAAAGGAAGTGGAAGAACTGTCAGAAGACCAAAATATCCCATCTACAGAACCACTTAATGGTCAGAGTGTTGATAGCAACACAGATATTTCAGACAGTGGGATAAACAGCGATTTCCATGAAGAGGCTGAACCCACAGTTGATAACAAAGATATTTCTCCTGAAAGGAACTTTGAAGAAGAATCTCAGGCTTTAGCAGAATTACCCCCCAGTAAAGATGACGATGACAATATAGAAAAAAGCAAAATAAATGAGGAGAGATCTGCAGAAAGGGAAGATGAAGACGCTGTGATTCACAAACCAATTGGAAATGAACATATGGATAATAGCAGGGAGTCAGGAGAGGAAGAAAGAAAAACTCCAAGTGCTATCAGTCAGGATTCAACACCACCATCTGAAACACCATCTGAAAGCATTTTGGGCCCTGATCACGTTTCAGTGGATTTAAAGTCAAAGTCTATGCTGGTCAAGGAAGATGAAAAAGACCAGATGGAGAACAAGAAATCAGAAAGTGTGGAGGAGGAAGGGGCAGAAATCACAAATCAAACTGATAACACAGAAGAACCCACAGAAATGGCTCTTAAAATCACCAGGGGTGACGATAATAAAGGAGAAGTCAGTAATGAGGATACAGATTTACCTGAAACTCAGACTGAGGAGCTGAACGGTGATGTAGAAGACAGTAGCACAGAGAGCCAGCCTCACGTACCGTCATCTATGGAGAAACACGATCCAGTTCCAGCTGAGAATGAAAGTTTTACTCCTTGTAGTGCTGAAACAAATGATGACAATTCAGATACAATAGCTCTTTTTGATAATAACACAGAAGCAGAGACAGTTCATGGGGAGTTAGAGAAGGAGGGAGAAACTCTGAGCTCACAGGAATTTGATTCACAGCATAACCCTGGTAGAAGCACTCAAACCATCCCAAAAGATAGAGGAACAAGTGCACCAACCACAGATCAGACCTCCGTGTCTCCAGTGATGGAGCATGTTAACAATGAAAGCGACAGTGATGCAGGCAAGCTAAAGGAAATTGTTGAAGACAACATAAATGAGTCCCAGCAGGTTAAAACAGAGATAGAAGCATCAGGCACTAAAGAAGATGATTTAAATGAAAATAACTTCAAGTCAGTGATCAGCTCTGAATTAGAGGCTGGAAAAGAGGAGGAGTCAAAGGATGGGGGGAATCAAGGGGTGATGAAGGTGGAGGATAACGAGGAACTGGAGGATTTAAAGGAGATAAAAGAGCAAAAGGGAGATGAGAAGGAGAGTAATGAGGCAGAAGTGGAGAGCATGCAGGGAGAGGTGGAAGACCTAAAGGAGGCTAACAAACAGTTGAATGCAGAGGAGGAAAAACACCCCAAGGTGGAGGAGTTAGTGGAAGAAGAGGAACTGGTGGGTCTAGAGGGAAAAGAGAAGAAAGAAGGTGAAGGGGAAAAGGTGAAAGAGCAAAAGGAAGATGAGGAAGAAAAGGAGTCTAATGAGGCAGAAGTGGAGAGTATGCAGGGGGAGATGGGAGAGCTAAAGGAGGATAGAAAACAGCTGCAGATGGAAGAGTTACCAGAGAAGGAAAAAGAGGCCAAGGTGGAGATGTTACAGAGGGAAGAAGAACTGGAGGGTGTACAGGAAAAAGAGAAGAAAGATGAAGAAGGAAAAACAGTGCAGTCTTCTTATTATGAGGCAAAGATCCCGAGCACCATGAACACACAAGAGACAGAAACCTATGACAAAAATACACAAGGTGAGAATGGCTCAGGATCATCTTTCACTGAAATAGTCACACAGGTTGAAAGCCACCAAGATGTGGAAGGAAGAAATGGGGAGGATGGAGAGAAAAAACAAGCCAAGGCAGAGGAGCTAAAGTTTGAAGAAAATGACCGAGCAGAGGTTGAAGAAGTGCATCAAGAGGAGAATGAGGTGGATGACAGCTTTAAATGTTCAAATGAGCTTTGCCCTCAAGTGCATGAAGAAAAAGCTGGAAGTGGTTTAGAGGAAGGAGGTGAAGGAGCAATACAAACAGAGAAGCTAAAGGATCAAGCAAACACACCAGGAGAGAGGCAGATGATAGACTCGGATGAAGAAACAGCAAATAACACTTCAGAGGAGGCAGAAAGCACTCATGCATTAGGACAGGAAGATAAAACGGAGTCTGGAGACACTGAAAGTAGCAGCAAAGCAACACAACAGTTAAACTCCGATCAACAGACGCACACAGAGAAGGCTGCTGTTGTAGTGGAGGATAAAGACACTGATATAAAAATGAGGGAAAATGTTGGTAATGGTAGTGAATCCTGGCATGAGGGAGGAAGGGAGCCTTCAGCCCCACATAGTGACCCTGCTAAAAGTCAGTCTGTGACATCTGAGCAAACTGCCCCAAGTGTGTCTGATGATGCGTCCTCACATCCACCTACTGATCAGAGTGGGGAGACGGCAGAGAGTAAAACCAGTGGAGCTTTTGGTCTTTTAAAAAACCCCTTTGGTGTTTTCAGCCAGAAATCTACCACCGAATCCGACGGGTCCGCCGAACCAGCCCAGAGCTTCAGTACTAGTCCAGGTGAGGCGTTGCACTCGCAAGACTCTTTAACTCCTGAACAAGAACCAGATTCCACCACTCACCACCTTGAAGTTGTGCGCAAAGACTCTCCCACTATCACAGAGCAGCCACAGCTTCATCCTTCCTCTGCTGAGATGACAAGAACTCTCTCCAAACATTACAAAAACCTGCTAGCTCACATGGGTGCAGATGAGACAGCTATTTCGCTAGAGCTTTTTGGGCGACACAAGCTTCAGTTTTTGGATTACATTTTATCCAATTCAGACACCATGTTGTACAAACCTGATGAGGAGGATGAATCTATATTGTCAGATGTAGAGAGACTTCTGTATCATCACAAGGAGACGCTGATTGCTCCTAGCCTGACACTCACTGATGCACTGCAGGAGGACAAAGAAAAGACCCGAATGCTTATGGCGCTTCAAAAACTGGAAACACTGTTGGGAAGAGTGAGACAGACTTTCAACACAAGACAGACCAACGACCGTAATCATCAAGGTAGTTTTTGTCAACATTGCCTCCTACTGGCTTCCTCATGGCCAGTACTAATGAGATTTAATTCAGTCTTTTAAATTCAGGCATGGTTTTGAATTGCATCTGTACATGTGTTTCCCTGTCAAATGCAGCCGAGGCCAGCTGTGTTGGCGTCTCTTGTTCAAATCATAGAAAAAATAAGAAAGCGAACACTGAGGAAGAGGCGAAGACGACACAAGATCCATCCATCCAGAGAGATGACTGGATGATAATGAAAGAAGGCAATAACCAAGTGGGTGGTGGTGTAGGAAAAGATGAGATAAGAGGAAAAAAACTCGAAGAAGCATCCCTTCCTCATGTTCAGCCAGGATCACCAGAGATGCTGAAAGGTATGGATAACCCAGGTATCCATTAATCAAGAAGAGTTTAAAATATTATTAAAAATCTTAAGCAAAAGCTACTCGACCTACTCCGTCATCGTCCTCACTTCACATAACCCCAAAAACCGGATGGCCAAAACAAATATTTTCTTTTCATTTTTTACAGTAATGTGTCACATTAAAAGATAGATATTTTTTGAGCATCATAAAAGAGATGTATGTTAAACAGCAGTATGTGTGTTACTTTAACTGCAGGAGTTATGAAGCAAATTCTGGACTTCGTTTATCAGATGGCTGAAGACTCTTACGCCCACACTTGTGCAGCGAGGGAGCTCCTCATATGGCTTACTGTGCAGGTACGCTGTGCCAGTTTCTGAGGATTTATAATCTGCAGAAACAGAAACCACTTTTTTGTCATTTGATTTCCAAATATACCGTTTTGCTTTAATCTACAGAGATTAGTGTTGTGTATGTTGAGAGGGATTCTTCAGTTCATGCCAGAGATTAATCCACAATGGCGATGATGGGGGGCTGAGGTCAAAGCAGGGTGCATGCTGCCTAGCCAGAAATTTTTTTTCTGATCTAGTTTTAACATGCTTTGTCCAATAGCTTTTGATTTGTGGCTAATCGTGGCCTTGATCATGTTGTACAGGAAACTTTGGGGTCCTGCTGGGTGCAGAATTGATCATAGCATGGGCTGCTATGATAAATTCTATGAAGGTGAGATGTTATTGTAACATCTTATCTTCATTCTATGAATGTTTTGCGAGTTACAAGTCCTAAAACTTTACAGCCACTCAAAGTGTCACAATCTAATTCAAAATCTTGTTTTGTTTAGTATGCTGTTTTCCTGTAATGAAATGTAAGAGCTTAAATATAATAGGTTTATCAGTTTCTATAGCAAAAAAACATTAGTGCTTTGCATATTTCATGTGTTTTCTGATCATTCGCTGGGGCAACTTTCAAGCCTCAAAATAGGTTATAGCATAACCTACATTTTGATACCAGGATCATCTTCTAGCCATGATTCCTGATATGTCAGAATAATTCTCTAATATAGTCATATCACTTGACATATCACTTCTGTGTTTGCATGCTTGTATTAAAGGTGTTAAAGTTATAGTACAAAAAATATATATGGGAGGCACTAAAAATCACCCTCTGCTCTGTCAGTGTGGCATTTTGTGGTGCCTGGTTCTTTAAGATATTACTCTGGTGACATGCTGAGCTGACTCTCCCTCTGGCATTTAGCTTTGCTTGCGTCTCAGCTGTCAAGCTGGCTAGGTTCCTTAAACATTACTCACATTTGGGTCTGTGACACTCTGGACTCACACACCTGTGAAGACAAACTGTCTCTCATGTTTTGAAAGGTGAAAGTGGTTTCAGATGGAGGCCAGACTGGTGAGTATAAGAAATACTGGATGGCTGTCAGACTGTTTTAATTCACATGGAAAAGACAGAAAAATATAGTAATTGTTTGAGAAATGTCATATATCTCGTATGAACAGCTCCCCTAGTTATCTCATTAATTCAGTAAAATAGAGCATTTTTATTTTGTTCTGTTAATGCTTTACGACTCCATACTTTCCTACGTGGGTCATAATGGTTTCTCTTTCTTTTTCATATGGGAAGTCTTTACCTTCACCTGTTTCCTAATTTGTCATTGGCCTAAGGCCGAGCACGCGACACGTTGACAAATACCCGTTCGATGCAAATGTGTTACTTTTTCTTTAAATGAAAATTATCAAAATAATGATAATACAGGTGTCATTTTGGTAACACCTGTTTCCCCTGGTGTCACTTTGAAAGCGCTCCGATATGCCAGTGTGGCATCTTACAATTGGTGACGTTGCGACTGAACCATTTTCACCAGCGGGGGTGTGCAATCATCCGTGTGAACTTGTGAGGACACGAAACAGCGTGCACGTGATGCATTATACTATACATGCTATGTTTATATTATTTTATATTTTCAGATTTTATTTGATGTTTGGAGTGTTTACAATGGTTGTACAGCTGTACAGTAGTTTTCGTACTACTCCCTACGACGTCCAGCAGGACGTGGTATAGTCCTAAGCGTCAGTGTTGTGGATAGGATGTGAAACCGCCGCTGACACGCTTCACAGCTCTAGTTTTTTAACGGTGTAAATATAAAAAAATTTAAGTTTAAAAATACGTCAGATGAAATAATTTGGACATGGCAGAGAATCCGGCGAGTGACCAGTCGGGCATCAAAGCGGCCGACTTCCAGGCGACGGCAGAGGCTTACTACAGTATCGCCGTGGAGAAAGTGAAGGATGTACGTTATGTGGCAGGTTTCGTTAGCAATTCCCAATTAGCCGAGATAATGTAACGGGCTTCCATGTAACAGTCATGTTTTTGTATTTTTCGGTACTAGCTACAGCTCTTGGTGTTGTCCATCTCATTATGAAGTAAGAGTATGACCTGCTGTCAGGATTATTCTTCGTGTTTTCAAAGGTGTTTAATTGCTCAAACAGTTAGCTGGTAATAGTTAGCTGGCTAGTTGTCAGTAACAGCGCTGTCTTGTCAGGCAGATATTTTTCCACATTTGTCTGTAGTAGAATGATATAACTATTAACACTGCGACCTATTTAATGTGGTCAAAACCTGGGTAACTGTACATAAACCCATCTTCTAAAGACCAGCTGTTTGGTAGTATTTTGTTTAGCAGTTTGACAGATTGCTTTCAGGAAGCCCAAATCCTGGTCCTGAAAACCAAGAACCTTATTAGAAAATATTGACCTTTCTCTGTCAGTCCGGTGCATCATAAATGTATAATATATTTGTATATTCAAATTTATTGGATATGCATCAGTGAATGTACCGTCAGATGATAAACAAATGCATGGTCACGCTTTAACACCATTGCATATATACAAAAACATATATATGCAGTATTTGCCACTCAGATTTTTCTCTGGAGTGCTGTCCTGGTATATTTGTGATTTATTTTAATTTTTTCATCAGTCTGGGGCCTTGTTGTGATCAGTTTACCATTGGTGAATCTTAATGCTCTTATTCTCAAAGTTTAGTCACTGCTCATCATTTATCACTGGACCTTCTATCCTTTGGTACCCTGTCAGTGGGCTGGTTTCGTCATTGTTGTGAGACTCTCACCTTTGTTTGACACACTCATACTCCACCTTCTTGAAATGCAGCTGGTAATGGTACTACTAATTTTGTGCCACTGACAGCAGGAGAGGTCAATCTAACCAGGAGTTTGAGTCTGTGCACTCCATCCCCGCTTTCCTTTTAGTCTCATTTTAGTTCTTCTCTTCAGGATCTGGAAAGGAGGTGTGGCATATTTCTAATCAGCAACATTAACAACACCTCAGCCCATTGTGCTGGTGCTCTACAAAAGCCATTAGAGCTCAGTTGCTGGTGTGGCTCTTCTTACTGAGATGCCTCTTCTTGGTTTGATTCCTTCCTCCAAAAAACACTGCACACACAATTTCTTTACTCTTACACTCACTTGACCGTACTACTTATTAACAAACATGGTTAGTTTAAGTTCTTTATTTGCTTCTTTAATCAAAAAAACTGTCTTTTAAATGGCATCTCTCTTTTTGTCAAGGTGTGTGACCACGAAAAGTTCTACTGAGCGAAAGTTGATACTTGCTGCATTATTATTTGGCACATAGTATATAGTACAATTTATTAATATATTTAAGAAGGCACGGGTCTGTCTCCACACTGGTTTGGGCAGATGGGCTGTATTTTGCCCATGTTCAAGAGGCAGTCATATTTACTCAAGGACAGAAAAGCTAATGTCCTTGAGCATCAGTAGAACATCAGGTTTTTATTCCCGGACTCACATATCCTATCTAAAAACACACACAGGTTCTAACAGGAACTGGTCATTATTTTCTCTTTTCTCAGGTGGTATCGTCTCTGCCCGATGACTTAAGACCTGGGCCAGACCTGTATGGTGTACCATGGGAACCTATCATTGTCTCTGGCCTGTTGGGCCTGATGACAGTTCTGTTGTTCACCTGTAGATGTTACAGCTCTGTGAGTGCACACCCATGCATATTCACTTCAACATCATAAATATTTTTTGCCACCTAAGATCGTTTGATAAGTATGGCTTCTATTTGAACTGTCGGACCTGTCACTAAGCACAGTTTTTTTTTTCCATTTTTTTTATTTCCTCACAGATAAAAAGCAGAATTTATCGACGTAAGTTCTCACTTCCTCTTCCTGAGTCTCATTTTATGGACACGTTTAACATTATCACTGATAGTTTTTCTTCTCCTTGACCTGTGAATGTTAACAAATAAACCACTTCTTTCTTTTTTTTAAATGACACAAACTAAATCTGAATTTTTTTGGCTGTTTTTCAGGTAGAGAGCAGGGGATGGCAGAACAGGTTGCACAGCTACTGGATGAGAAATCCAAAGTCCTTGAGAATCTGAGTCAGTGTCAACAAGAGGTTAGTAGTTATGCCAGTGCTGTCTAGACACAGATCTGGTCTCACACAATAATGTGAGGTCAGAGATTTTTTTGATATACAGTGGGGCAAAAAAGTATTTAGTCAGCCACCGATTGTGCAAGTTCCCCCACTTAAAATGATGACAGAGGTCAGTAATTTGCACC